TCCTAGTTTCTGCATTCAGTTATGTTGTTATATAACAAATTAGCGTGCGGTGAAAAAATAAATCTTCATAGTGACACAATGAACAAAGACAGTAAGAGAAGACACAATGAATGAAATACATTTTGTGAAAAAAATCAAGATGTTAATGAAGTTAGCATGATGTCATTTGCACTGACTAGTAGTGCTAGGCCTAAATTATCCACAGCGGTACCACTGGCAGGGTACCATGATGGGGATGATCAGGTAGGTAAGTAAGGTAAGTGAGCATGCATTAGACTATGAGGCATCAGCAAAGAGCTTTGCCATGTGGGTGCATGCAAGCTGTTGAGTAAGAATGAGAGTGCCATCAGAGGCAAGAATATCATTGTAAAATACACTTTGAGGAGGAAGCCATAGCTTGGGACACACTGAATGCACAGGCAGATGACAAACAGGAGCCCACCAAATAATTAAAAACTGGGATTGGAGGATCACCAACCTGGCATATCAACTCAAGGAGTCCCGATGGACTGCGATCCCCCTGATTTCTCCACGAGTACTCATCTCCAACACCAAATGGTAAAGCGTATGTATGAGGGAAAAATTGTGTGCGGGTGTGTGTGTAGGTGTGTAGAAGTGGGGGTGGTGGGTGGGTTTCACAAGTAGCAAAGTGGTTGTTGGTGTATTGAAAAATACAGATAAAAAAGTTTTAGGTGGGTCTTCATTTGCATCAGCAACGCACCTGCCACTCCCATGTTTGTTGAAGATTGTATGAGCATGTCATTTGAATTTGTTACAATTTTCTTTGACCATATGTCTTTCTGGTTTTAAAATATACCTGAGGAACAAAGGTGGTTTTGTCAAAATAACAATCTCTGGTATGTTATTTGGACCTTGTGGTTGCTCTTGTTATATGGATGTCTGTCCCATCAGTTCCTAATAAAGGACACCTCTGGCTCCCAGGGGCCAAAGTCTGGCTACTGTTCTGTCAGTAACCTCAGTCTCCAGCCAGCCAGCTATCCTGGCCTGAGTTACTGCCAGGAGGAGAGACCAAGAAGAGGAGGAAAGAACACCGACTCTCCCAAAGAGGCAGGACAGATGCCAAAGTAATTCCACAACATGTGCTGACATTAAACATTACTGCATATTAACTTTCCATATGTATTGCAACTCAGCGTTTTTGCGAATGCCCACAAAGAAGCCCTAGAAAGGCTCTTTGTCTTTGTGCTGTCTGAGGATTAATTTGCTATTCTCGTATTTCATCTTTCCATTCCGTTAGTGGAGATATGTGAGAGTAGACGGTAGACTCCTCTCCACCCGCCAGAGAACTTTCAAAGGGAAAAAAATCAGAGGGTTTCCATACCATATTTCCATTTTTGCCATTATTTTGGACTGAAATGTTTGCATATGAAATTACTTGTCAGTTTCTGTCAAAATGACTGACAGGTTGTTAACAGTCTATGACATATTACTATTGTGACATGTACAGCCAAATATTTTAACAGCTACTAAAAAAAGTAATATATACGCACAAAATCAGAGTTAGGATGTAAAGTCATTCAAACGTGTCACTTGAGCAACTTTTCAAGCACTTGGATATTTCCATTTATTACACTTCCTACCAACACAATTGCAGTACTGCCTCTATAATGCAACACTGTTCTGAATGAATACTTTCACTTTTGTTACTTAAAATAAATACATTACACTACCTTTTACATGTTTTTAATGTTGAATGCAGTTTAAACTTTTTGATGTATTTCTAATGATTGGGCTCTTCTTCCACTATTGTATTATTATGTTGTTTCGCAAGTAATTTACTGACTTAGAACGCTGTACTTACTGCTGAAGACACACACTAAAAAAACTCTGAGATTTACACAGGTTTACAAGATTAAATTACAACGTTGGCATAATCATAATAACCATTTCAATGCCTAATTACCAAGGACATGGCAATGTTCCAAATGTTGCTTTAGAAAAAACAGTCCTGCTAAAACATTTAGGGGGAAACATTTAGCCATAAAATTACTTTTGTTCTACTCTGTGCCCCGCTGTTTAATCCATTTAATTAGAAATTGGAAATGAAATAAACTTTAGTGTGCTCGGTTTCTTATATTTGCCAAATCTAAATGAGAAAATTGCTCCTAAAGTACTGGTTTAAACCATCTAAATTACAGCCTAAATACAAGAAAATTAGATCTGGATTTGGAGTTTACATCAAAGCCTATAATGAGTCTTGACAGATAAATCTGACAGAATACCCTACAAACGAGGGATAAAAGCATGAACATCATCAAGGAATCAGTCAGCAGTCCCAGAGTCACATAGTTAAATAGCATACACATGAAATAAGAATAACTTTATTCAGTTTATCAATACAGTGAGTTCACTGTCTATGTGATGACATTAAAGTATAGGACTAATCCCTGTAACATAGATAAGTGAAAGAAAAGAAGCAGGAGGTAGAGACAGAGTGGGATAGTGTATGTAAGTGGACGGCGGCCAGGTGGTTTTATTTACCTTGAGCATCTATGGAGGATAACAGGGCTGCAACAAAGGCAGCCGTGGCCAGAGACAGCCCTATCTTCATGTTTGGCCCTTGAGGGTCAGCAATGCATCAACCAGTCTGAGGATAAAGGGAGAAAATGTGTTGAAGCTGCAGATCTATGAACCAGCTCACTTTGTCGGTGTAGTGTGGACTGGGACTATAAGAACCACATGCAGGGGATAAATGTCTGATTTACTGCTGTGTCAGCATGGCCGTTTTAGACTGAAGAATGTCCAGTCTGACTTTCACTAAAAGTACATAATGTACTTAATATTGATAGCAGTTATTATTTAATCATTGCTTTCCATAATGACTAAAACTATAAAAATCCATCTAGACTCCCTTACACAACAAGAGCCACACCTTGCTGCCTCCAGCTGATGCCCGCACCCTGGGGTGATTAATACTGAGTGATATACTGTAGGTATTTATTTAATGGGGTGCTGAAAAAAAAAACATGTAACCACATACTGTTTGATCTTATAAGGTCACCAAAACTCAGTCTGTGATATCATAAGGTACATAATGGTATTTTTTAGGTATTTGATTATATAACGATAATGACTTGATTGCAGTCCCTTTTGTACAAATTAAATATTTTTGCATGTTTGAAATTGCCTCTGTAACTCATGTGTTTGGCTTTGACTAAATCTATTTCTTTATGAATGGGTTACAATCAATCAGCCCACAGCAGTCAGTCAAAGACTATGGATCTTACATGGACTCTCCTTATATCACAAGCGGACTTAAATAGATTGTTTCTATGTAATCATTAGTTCATGTGAAATTGAATAATCTCATGCGATGATGATTTTTCCTGAAGGATAAGTAGACCACATCCACACAATACAGTCTGAGCTCTCTACCGCAGAGTGTGCGCCCCGCCTGGTGCACAGGCACGACAACTGCAGCTGCAGGGGCTGAAATTACTCTGGTGGCCCCTCGGACGCAATTGGAGCTCATCTAATTCAAATTAGGCTACTAAACTACACATTGAGCGCAATATCTATGCCTGCCTTGCCACTAAAACACTAAAACCCTTATGATGGATTGCAAACCAATGGCTTGTCGTTGCATTTTCATTCAATTCAGTTCAATGGAGTGATTGAGCGCCTAATCCACAAAATGTAATTTATATTTAAATCAAATTGTTTAAAAAGTTATGTTGTAAGTAGAGTTCATGTTTTTTTTTAATGCATCTGACTGATCAAACTATTGCAAAACGCACTAAAGTACAAAACTTCGACAAAAATGGCGATATTCTCTCTAATTTAATGAAATATAAATGAGTTATTGTCACTATTATTACTTTTTTAAATCAAAAATGGCAAAATAACTCATTTATAAATAAATAAAAGTTGGTCTACTCACTTATTCAGCAATTCAAAAACAATGAACCGACCAAGTGTCAGAGCAGCCTGCTTGAAGCCTCCCCCTCTGGAAAGTAAGAGCAAACTTCAGGAGCTGCGGCTGGACCCCTCTCTCCTCTCTCTGGCTACTGGAAGCTCCGCCAGCAGATGTCCAAGAAGGAAAAGCCTCTTTCCAAGTGGGAAGAATCTTTCCACCATCGGCTACTTAACAGGGGGGGCAGTTCCTAACTCTCAGTTTACCATCATATGGGCTTCTTACGAAACTGCCAGTCAGTTGATGTATGTCCCCCGCTAAGACCGATCCACTGTTTGGAAATTACATTTTTCCCTGCATTCCTTTGGTCTGGTGATTTAATGAGTTTCCAGTGCCAGTGTGACGTTACAGCGGGGTCCCTGTTGGCCAGACAGCACTGGGGAGGGAAGTGTTTCATATGCGCAACAAGGAACCTCATCCAGTTTATTTACTCACATGTAAACTGATATCAAAGTTGACTTTTTCGTTTTATAAACAGAGAACTGACTCTTGGTTTCATACCCTGGCCGTTCCACACAGTGCGTTCAAGAAGTTTAACCACGTTAGGCCCTTTATTTCAGAAGTACTTTTATAACGTGGGGGTCTGTGGAAAATTTTGCTGAGAAAAGAGATTTCAGTGCACCCTGCTGCTGACTGCCACTATGAGAGATACTTAACTGATTGGTTTCTGGTGCCCTCTAGTGCTCAAACCAAACACCTACACTAAATACAAGTTTGGATTGGTGAGGGGAAAGCCAATCCAGTCCCCTGCTAAACTCAGATTCTGAATGAAGAACAATATAATATAATAATAACAACAATAACTCAACATGAATCTTAATATCAAAATGTACCAAACATCTCATATTAAATCAAAAGACACAATTCAATGAGATACATACATTTTTTATTATTATTTGCAGCTCATGATTTGTACAATCAATAAATATTCATTTCAAACATTAAAAATACTGATATTATTGATAGGACAAATAATTTCCCAGATTACCAATCTGCACAACAGAGTGGATGAATTGCATACAGCATGTGCACGCTTGTTTCATCAGATGATAAATCCCAATTGGGCCAATCCCGTGCGTCACTTCTTGGGCATTGCCGCACTAAACAGCTCATACACAACATATCCACTCCCTGTGAAGACACAAGAATTACAGATTGTGAGGATACAACACAAACTAATTATCCTGACTTCAAACAAGCCATGATGAGGCATTGTTAAATTACAGTCATTTTACTAGCTAGTTTCAGCAACAACACTGGGGTCAAGTCACTGGTATGAAATGTGTTTTTATCCAAAAGACAGACTGAGACGTCTGGAGTGAGCCTGACTCATCAAATCTCAGACAAATGCTGACATACCGAACACAGTTAGAGCCATTGTGATTCTGTAGAGCACAGCGTCCTTTGACCCGCCCTTCAGATGGATAGGCGTACCGTTGTCCGCCTGGCCAAAGAGCAAACAATGAAGTTATAAAAACAGTTAGCCTACTTCAAACGTTCATGAAGGACTTTTAACTTCACGTGTTTCTGTTTCTAGGGTATTCAATATATTCTTGTAGCGCCCATCTTTGGTTAACCACCATAGCAATTAAGTGGTGGCGTACAATACACAATGCAAAGAAGCAGTGCTTGCTCTGGCATTTAGAAGCGAGGGTAGGCCGTTTGTCAACTATGGCTACAGTAATTTCTAGCGCTATGCAAGGATCAGCAAAGCCTGCCACATTGGAACGTTGATTATGTAATGGATTTTTAATTAGCAGCTTGCAAGCGTAATTAGTATAACTCCAGCCTCAGCTACAGCTGAAGGTCATTTAAACATTATAGGGTGGAAATCCACTGATACTTATCTGTGCGGCTACAAATTAGATTCTGTCTCCAGAACCTGGGAATAAAGGAGACACTTTAACATTATCTTTAACAGTAGAAAAAGATCTGATTCTTTTCTCACTCTTAACAGTGACAAATGAAAACAAAGTGGATATAAGACTACTCCCGTGGCTTACAGGAGTCACACAGCTTCTGAAACACTGTTACACACATCAGATGGGATACTGATGGGATCTCAAAGAGCTTTAATCCTACCTGAAACAGTTTCTGTTTGTCCTTCACAGTGTTATCAATCTGTCTGCGGGCACTGCTGGTGATGGTCCGCCTGGAAAGCTGCTGAAGTCCCTGGTGGTACAAACACTTCAATGAGGATTAAATACTTCTAAACTGTATAATGTATGTCTGAAAAACAGGGGTAAAACGGTGTGAAGATCTCATTTAAACTGAAACAGTGTGAGAAAGTGAACTGACACAAAATACACCAAGTGATTAGAAAGCGGACTCCACTAGTGAATGGGGAAAGTGCTATTTCTGCATCACTTTGAAGCAAGTGTGTTAAAAACTGCTGCTTCTTTCAGAGCGTTTGATCATAGTGGCAGTGGTGACACCTGCTGGCCAAACCTATCTATTACATTTAAATGCAAGACTGAAAGTCAAAACAGAGGTCATCACTGCTGTCATGTAGTCTAAGCAGTTCAAGTGGTACTATAATCACTCGATGCATATGTCAAACATTATTTAACGATAGTTATTGGTTTGGCAAAAGGGTTTAGGTTGCTTGCTTTAGCAAAAAAAACAAACAAACGTGGATGGATGGCAATCCCCTTCTGTTCGAGCCTGTATGTTGATTTAGGACTGACCACACCTGAAACCTCAAACTTAACCTGGCTTTTATTTCTCCTGGCGGTCAAGTCTTTGTTGCTTAATCGAAGCGAAGCCATCGATACCCGTTTTAAATACCTTGTGGAGTATTCACTTTGTCGGTAACGTTAACCAACTTCAACCTGACTGGCGTTAATAGTCGACTTGTTGCTCAACAGAGCAGGTAGCTGGCGTCCTGTCAAACACTATGTTAAAGTCATAAACAGGCAATAACAAGAGCATAGAGCGAGAATAAGACCTGTGTTCAATGAAATAACTAACATCATTATGCGCCCTCAACTGCTAGCTTGGTAGCTAACGTTAAGTTGCGTTTGAACAGTTTAGCTAGAGACTGTTACTCGTTATTTAAACTTTTTATTTATAATAACCAACCAATAAAAAACTGTAATGTGTTATAGTCAGTACAACAGATTAAACTTCTCTCTTACCATGAGCTGTCTGTACATTTTGGCAAACTTCTGTTGTGTCTAGCTAGGAGGTAAAAGCACAAGGACGGACACCGACAGTCTGACTTCCCACAATCCCTTTGGGCCTGTCACATCCGGTCGCGTGAACTTATTATAATAATAATAATAATAATAATAATAAAAAACTAAAAAGTAGTAAACATTAATAATAAAGTAGTGGCTGTGATATGGTAGCACTCAGAGATTTGCAATAACACCAAATGACACCAATACATTCACCAAGTTGTTTAATTGGACCCTAAAAACTTTATAAAACCCAGGAATTTCAAATTTAAACAATATGCTCATTATTAATAGATCAAGAAAGCAATATTGGAACAGAAGTGAAACAAGGGGAAACAAATGTGACACTTTTAAAGTGCATATCATTTGGTCAACATTGAAGAACGTAAAATAACTTATTACGCAGGCCGAACTGAACTGTAAAAACAAGACAGACTTTTTGTGCTCTAATCAACCTTAGTCTTATAATAGAATACTGGATATAGTGGTGTAGGGTAATGTTTCCATCATTACTAAGCATTATGTATGAAAAAGATGCCTTATGACTGGCTCCATCTCTTTATACAACCAATCACAGTGGAGGGCAGATAACCACACTTTTGGTAGAACTCTGAGTATTCTATGACTCAAGGTTAAAACACTGCTTGTTAAACATCAATGCTTACCATGATAAACAGCACACGAGTAATGATTATCACATCCTATATTAAAGGTAATCTCAAAAACCACAGAGGTATGTCATGAAATATAATGGTACATTCATCAGCAGGACATATTACAGTACATAATATGGACATAAACTTGCATTACAAATACATACATCCTTCAATAATTAAGCCATTCGCAAAGCACTGCTAAAATAAAACAGATACCGCGATAATGTATAGATAAATAAAAGATAAAAACTTTCTTCTGAAGACAGGAAACGACAATTTCAGCAGCAGCTGACTTGAAGCTGTATGCACACAAGACACAGACTGCAGCATTCTTCTTTTGCAGGAGTTGCCCTACACATAAACACAGCTTTTGATGAAAACACTTCAGACACTGCTGCCCTTACACAAACACATGACAGACAATTACAGAGACCAGTGTATCACGCTAAAAATCAAACAAGCAGTCCAGAGTGAACCCTTTAGGGCCACCCATGCATGCAGAGGCAGGAAAACGCGATACGGTTTAGTTTGGAATATCTGCACTGCTGTTGCGGGTGTCATATTTGTGGTGGATGATGAGCAGAACCACACCCAGGAAGAAGCAGATGGAGCCCACAGTGATGTAGGCAATGCCAAGGAAGGGGTTCTTGCCTCCCATCCAGGAGATGGTGCTCAGGATCATCCGCTTGCGACCATCAAAGCTGAGCACAGGGTAATCTGATTACATATGGTTAAAGACAAACGACTGGAGCTTCTGGATGGAGAGAAAAGTACATTTGACGACAGCCTACACATCAACTTTTAATATATATATCTACTGCACTAAGAAAAGGGAAAGTGCTGAGAAAGGAACAAAAGATATTTTCACTGAAAGTCATTAAGCAATGAATTTAACATCACCCAATCATTGTTTAGGTACACTCTTTGTTTTTAAAGGGTCAACAATGTCACAAGAGTCTTTTAGTTAGTAGTTACACTAGTTTTAGTACAATTATTTTTATTACCTGCTGGTTTTAGGATCTTGTAAGATGTGTCTGGACATGACTCGTAAGTAATAGTAGTCTTAAACTAGTAATCTTATCCTGTGAAGCTTTATATAAGGAAATAAAAATCATACTTGCCAACCCAACAGCCTAAGGCTAACTCTAGTTTTGACTGTGCAGTAGAGTTTCTGGCTACAATTCAAAAGGATACTGTAAGTGATCTCCAACACGTATTTTCCACTGGGCAGAGTGGGAGTCGTGTTGGACTTCTTCTGGATGATCCGATAGAGCTTGCGAAAGGTGGGCAACGCAGCCGTGCGCATCCACACAATGAAGTCCTCGTTGATAAAGCCGTTGTTGTCAGGATCTGAGTCCAACTCATACACTGGCTTCCTCCAGTTCACCGGCTTATTTGTGCCTGAAAAACAAGACAAAAAAAGCTAGACATGGCAACATAAGTGTTTATTAAGTTAAATAAATTCTGTGCACAGTTTGCTAAAATCACCTTGGAAAGCTAGAGTGAGGTTGTCGTTTCCACCAGGATTCCTGAACTTCACATGCTTGTCTGTCCACCAGGCAATGCCCTTCTTTACCAGAGGAATTGGATTTCTGGTGTTATTGGAATCAATATGATACAGCGCCAGAGTGTCTGAAATAAAGAAACATTTGCATTGAGTAAATATTATTGTTTTAGTAGGAGTTTAAATTGTCAGATAAAACTTGAACCCATGTAAAGCAATGATCCTTACACTGCTAAAATAAAATATGAAGTGGTTCTTTATGTCTCACTTACCATTGAAAAGGCTGTTAGCTATGGCCCCACATGGAGCGATGGGCAGTCCATCACTTGTGCGGTACGGTTCGCACTCCTTGCTGGGGTTCTGTAAAAAGCAACCAGTATTAACTTGCTACAAAAGGCATATTTATTGAAATCTCTGCATGTTATAACATTTCCAAGATTATACCTTCAAAGCAGACTGGTCACCATTCAGTTGGCTGTCATCCCTGGACTTCACATAGCGTCTGTGGTTCTGATAGAAGTTGGATAAGCCGTAGTACATGAAGACATTGCTCTGCAGGGGAGGAGAGATCACGTTATAGACAGAGTATCAGTATAGGTAAGGAAGTACTTCAGTAAGGTGACACTTCCTCATTCTTTGGATATTCAGCTCTAAGTTTACCATACACAGAACTTAATTTGCATGCATCAGATGAAGGTTTGTTCATGTTCTCAGATGAGGTGGTTGTCATTTTACACCAGTTAGTTGACCCCAAAAATTGCATTATGCTAAATTATAGCCCAAATCTAAACTTTGCCTTGTGACACTGGTTTGGTTCCGGAAACTGGCTGAGAGGCTTTTAAAAGAAATCAATAAAAGTGTTCTGAAGGATGCTGGGCTACAGATTTGCAGACTAGAATGATCAATGATAACGACGGTTCCAAACAAACTTCGAGTGTCTTTGGACTTAAAATAGATCTTAATGGACATCATGTGCCAGGAGGGTAGTTATTTGTCTTTTATTGCACTTCAAGCAGTGCTTTCAGTTCACTTCAAGGCATATATTATTCATAGGGTCGGAATACTGTAGGCTGGTGCTCACCTCAAATGGCTGCTCCAATGTGAAGTTCATAGAGCAGACACATGGTGTTGTGCTGTTCCAGCTGAAGTTCTTGGCACAGCTGTAGCATGGATTGGAAATGTCGACACCAGTGTAATCAATCTGAAAATTAGGAGCTGATTAATTAAGAAATTGCAGAATTGAACATATTTAATGCACCTAGACAAACTAAATGCATACTTATACATTCAAACTTAGTGGGCACTTTATTCAGTAAAAAAATAGACAAAAATAATTCAGTCTAATGCAACAGACCTGCAATAAATTCCACTTTTATTAAGGTTTTTGTTTAAACTGTCTTTAGGAGGTGTTGGTTCAACTTAAAAAGGTCATTTTGGAAGCTGTATATTTTTCTAATATGTTGGTTAACCTATTGGTCAAAGTGGGATGTTACACTGAAGGGGGTTTCTTATATTTTGTATACACTCACTGATATAGATGGGGTGTTATACTGAGAAGTATTTCTGTAATGTTGTCTAGCCCCATTACCATAATATAGAGGCGTTTATAACATTTTTATATAAATGTGAGGACAAAATACTTGAAAGCCTTATTATACTGCAATATCATTAAATAAGACCAGTAACACCAGCTTCCAAATCACCATAAAGTTCAATCAACACCCATTAAAAAGAGCAATAACTTAATATCATAACCAACGCTATATTTGACGTTATTAGTTGCTACTAGCAACTTAAATAAATAAACCGACAGCTGGGTGTATACGGTCATTTCACTGAGCTTAACTTTATTCAGAAATATGGCAAGCTGTGTGTGTCACTTCTTGTTGTGTTCCTGTTTGTGGTAACACAACAGGTTTACAAGTCAACCAGGTTACAGTTAAGTTAGTACATGTTACTGTCGCCTCTTCAGCTCACGGTAACCATGGCTGAAAGGGACTGGGTAGAAAAAGCTAGTCGACGCTAGCGGGTGTGAAGTGAGCTATCATTATCTAGCGGCTGAAGCTGTTGTAGGACGGACACTGTGGACAGGCGGTAAGTTACTGTACCTCGAACTCTTTGATGTTATTAGACGAGACATACAGGCCGATACCGATGGGGATGAAGATGAGACCGATAACGAAAAAAGCAGGCAGCACGGTGCCTGCCGTCAGGATGGGCTGCCAGGCCGGTAGTCTCTGCTGCTTGAACGCTGTGTTGTCCGGCTTTTTACTTTTCACAACCCCTGCGGCTCCGTGACTCGAAGCACCCGAGGGGTGGCCGTCCTCTTCCTTAGCGTTGTAGCTTGTCGCCATCATGGCTGCAATCCGCTTCGAGCTTAAATGATCTACCGTAGTTGACAGGCGACAGCTTTTACTTAATCTCACACGGTAAACAAGAGACAAACACTGGGCAAAGGGTAAAACTGTTTTAGGAGTGACATTTACCCTCTTTCTAATCCAAATATCCACTCATTGTAGTATTGATGTTGATGTGTCTTGTTAATCTCACCGAGGAAGAAGCCGGAAGCTTCTGAGCCAATAGGATGATGACACGTAGTTGTTACATCATGGCAGAAAATGAAGACGCCCCTTTCTCACATTGTTTGTTGTGCACAAACATCTGATGCTAAATGTAAACATCTGTGTTAATAACACCGTTTAAAAACACATTTTGACATTTTGACAGCTTAACACCCAATGTTAATCTTATTTATAGCATTCAGTTTGAGAACCATATGCCTATCAGAAGTTGCATCAGGTAATTTTCAAGTCATGCAAGTTTAAAACTTGATTTAACATGACTATGTATA